TTATTTTATTAAGTCCAGGGAATATTTGGTTACTTAAACACTTATTACTTGTGGTGTTCTGATATTTTCCATCTCTGTGCTGCTTTTTTTTTTTTTTTTAATAATGAGGCAGGATCTTGCTATATAACCCAAGCTGGCCTTGAATTGATGGTGATCCTCCTGCCTCAGCCTCCCCTACTACTGGAACTATAGGCTTGCACCACCACCCCCAACTTCTATGCTGCTTTAACCCTGGCAAACTGTGCCCTTGTTCTAACATTCATTTTAACTATTTTAATGAGTCGTAACAACTCAGTTATCACTCCAAAATTCATCAACACTGCTGACAAACTAATGCTACCCAAACTGAGCTGTTGCAATAGTGTCAAATTTAGCAATTTGTCAATTTAGCAGCAGTGTCAAATTTAGCTGGGGGTGAGTCTAGGATTCCCTCACTGGAATTTGAGACAAGATAGTTAAAACTGATTTGTTTTGTATTTTGCTTCTCACCTGCCCTTGATTCTTCCCTTCAACTAGGACTATGAAAATGTAAAATTTAACATTTGAAGCAGTTGTCCACTTTATAAATCACCTCAGCTACATTCAGTTCTGAAAGACGAACACCTTGATTTTGTGAAAATATTTCTGCACATAAAATTTTCCATTTGAATGAACATTGCTGGCATAATAACTTCAGTTAAGTCTATTTATAAAGCTGCTTTCGTCCCATACCTACCTTCTAACATGCAATGCCAGGTGTCTTTTAACAATGACACTTCAGATCCTAAAAGATGTCCTGATTATCAGCTGACTTTAAGGTGTGGGACAGGCTTTTTGATTCCTTGTTTCTCATGACAGCGTAAGCTGCATATTCTTTAATTATGGTGAGCAATAAGTAGATCTTAATATCTTGATAATGTAGCTTCATTATTGAAATAGACTATTGTAGTGTAAATTTCTTTCTAGGCTATGTATAGTAATATAGAGAAAGCAGTTGTCTGCAAGCTTTAGGATAAACGTCACATTAATAAAAGCTGAGTATGTGCCTCAATATTAATCATATACTTCATTAATAGGTATATGACTATATAACATAGGAAAGGTCATAAAATGTCTGTTTCCTGTCCAAGTGAAAACACTCATGAGTTATGAAAGATCAGAAAATGGCGAGAGCAAAATAAAGTGACTGAGAAAATCTTCAGTAAGAAAATCACAGTAAGCAACCTTCACCATGCTATGACGTACTCTTGTTTAGGAAGGCAAAGGTCCTGGCTGCTGGAAAGGAAGGAGTCTGGATGAGTAGGGGAAGGGAGGCTGCTCTTTCTGTCCTGTCAGTGCCCTTATACAAGCTCTTTCTGCCTCACAGTTGCATACTGGCTTTTGAAGGCCTGGCAGTTATGCGGCAGAGATGCACTGACAGCCCTCTCGGTCTAACTTCATCATTGATGTAAATACTTTCTTCAGCGTGAGACCTCTGGTAAAACTCCAACTCCTTTTTCTCAGGGTGAACTGATTCCAGCTGCAGCCAGCATTCACCTTGCTGTGGGTATATTCTAAAACAGAGGAGGAGGCTTGCCCCTGAGTTGAAAGAGATGAGGTAAGGGGTACCTCTTCACGTTTCTGTTTTGATTTTTACATAGGAGCATTATCTTCCTTTAGATAGAAAGTAAAAGAAAGCTGAATATATCAGGTTCTGATGAGTATGCGTTGATTTACAGTGACATTCGGGTGGGTGTCCTGCACTGAGGTCTGCCGTAGTGTTTAATTATTAAATCCTGGGGCTTTTCAAAGGAATGTGAGTGGACTCTGGACCTCTTGGAGATAGGGGACTAAGCCAGTGAAAGCTAAGCCCCTGGTCAGCCTTGGACTAGAAGATAGCAAAGGAGCTGGAACCCATGACTCACCACTGCTTTTAAGCCCCTTCAGAAATGGGAGGAGGTGGTCAGAAATGGGAAGAGGTGGTTTCTTGGAGCCGGACTGGGATCGAGCCCTCATCTGGCACCTTCCTTGCTCATCCAGCTCAGAAGGTGAGAGTCTGCTCCAGCGGGGGAGAAGGAATATGAATGTGGTAGGATCCTACAACTTCATAAAGTAAGTCAGGAGAAGCATGGCACACATAGTTTTATTATGTGTTATTTAACAGGGTGAATAAAAATAACATTTCCATAGGAATTTTTAATCAAATTTTTCCTATATAAAAGTGTAGCATTTAAAGATGGTCAGTCTCCTTCTGGTGGCATTACTGTAGCCCTATATAATTAGCTCCTTATAAACTAATTCAAATTTAAGGTATGTTACTTTATAAAGTGGCAAAATATTTGTTTAGCATTTAGTAGGGATAGGGCAGTATAGTAAGTACCATGAAATTTGGCCTCAAAGAATCTGGCTTTCTAGTCCTTGTTTAATGACTGCTCAGAACTGGGAGTTCGGTCTTACCAGGACCCGTTCAGTACATCTTGTTTAAGGGGCCTCAGTGTCTTTTTTTTTTTTTTTTGTACAGTACACTTTGTTTACATAGTACTGTAATTTTTGCTGGTGCTGCTGTGCAGTACAGTACTGTAGTTTTATGTTATAGTGCATTACAGCTGCATGTAAGAGTTATGCAAATAAAAGCAAAGTCATCAAGTTGGAGTTTCCTTTGACCGTTTCTTGGCTCTGAATATGGTAACGCACACACTTTATACTGAACCCAGTTACTAATGAGTATCTGTGCTTAATCCCCTCTGCTTTCTCAACTGTTAATGTTTTCCTCACGAGATTGTGGACCACATCATAAATGTATGATAAGACCTTAGCACACTGGGTTGCGTTTTTTTAATTACATCTTTCAGAATTCATAGTTTAGTACTTGCTTAAAAACCAACGTAGGAATTAAGCAACACCAAAACCTGAGAACTCTGCTTGAGGTTTATCCTTTCACTCAGCGATCATGAAGAGTTTTCTTGTCAAAGTGAAAACACTTAAGTACTCAGGAGTTATGAAAGACGAGAAGAAGGCGAGAGCAAAATAGAGTAACTGAGAAATCTTCCAAGAAGTTTGCTACACCGAGACTTAGAAAAGGTTGAATAAAAAGAAAAAAAATACAGTAGAAAAGGACGCTGTTCTAGCTGAGAAGGGAGGGACCCAGGGATGAATTGGGCTGCCTGAGAAGGACTGGAGAATTTTATCTTGGAAGAGGAATTGGGTGAGGTGTAGTCTTTAAGATAAGAAAAAGGCTTTCTCTTTGGTTTGTGGTGGTGCAGAGGGGAGGCTGAGGCAGGAGGATCACCCCGAGGCAAGCCTGGGATATCTTTAGTTTAAGGCCATCCCAACTGAAGTACATAGCAAGACCCTATGTCAAAGAAAAAAAAGTTATCCTAGAGATTTTGTACTGTAGAGCATTTTTTTTTTTGAAGATCCCATAGCCAAGTAGGAGAATATAGCTATTACTTTATTTTATGAACAGATTTTTAAAAATACCGATTAGCAGGGTATTAATTGATGCGAAAAGACTGAGAGAGAAGGGTGAACTGTGAAATTTAAGAGGCTGTGCAGATTTCCTCTTTATTGAGACCAGATATGAATTATCTAGGATTGTCTCCTGACCCTCCATCTGTGACAAATTCTTTAGGCAGGTAATTATCCCTACTCTTGATTTTCTGTCTACAAATAATGCAGTGATCATTTCCTTCAGCAAACATTCTGGAAACTAACAAAGCAGTCAAGCATTATTTCCAGTAAAAATATTTAACAGCTTAAGATAAAAATGGTATTGCTAGGGTTTTTGCTTGAAGGCTTTCTTCCTGTGGAATTGTCAGTGTGTACCAGAAGTTCCTTTGTTAAAAAATACTTATGATGCCTGAGGCATTGTACAAGGCTTTTGGGATATAATCAGGGACTGAGATTTGGGACCAAGGTCAAACTTATACATCAGTTTCTAGGAGTTCATTAGAGATGTAAATTAATAGACCCCGCCCTGTGTCTACTGAATCTGAGACCCTGGGAAGTAGGGTCAAGAAATCTGTTTTAATAAACTCGGGTGATTCTAAATCCTCATAGGAGTCTGATAGCCACTGGTTTAGACTAACTACTGAGAAGGACTTGATTTCAGAACTCAGAGACCTACTTGAAGATGTTGAGCTAGGGACCGGGGGAGCAGTGAACTGAGGAAATCTCTTCAGTGTCAATCGTGCTTGCTGTTTTCCCTGACCTGAGGGGCTTCCTAGGATTACAGACAAATTAGGTCATTTTTCCTCTACAGATCATTTTTGTGTGGTTTTCATTCAATTCCTAACTTCTTCCTAATATACACGGAAACTATTATATGCCTTTACCGGTATGTAAGAACATGTGCGAAGGACAGGACAAAGGGGGAAAAAAAATAAGAAAATCTAGATGTGTGTAGGTCAGATTTTAATACGTAGGCCCGATGCTGCTGAGACAAAGTGCTCTCCGGTTCTCTTTTCTCTACATTTTGGTAAAATATTTAATCTTGTTCTGACCTTCACTGATTTCACCTTCACACTTTGCCGGTTGATATAAATGACTTTTAAAAATATTTATGGAGCATGTAGTGTGTCAGATGTGCACACGGCACATACAAGGTGCTTCATTTCCTTGTGCAGAGTGACTCGCAAACCTGCTCACTGAGTGACAAAGTCGGTTACACACAGGTGAGAACGTAAGTCTTGGGGAGGTACTGAGCAGTGGCCTCTGTGAAAAAGTCATCTGAGGTGAGGACTGAAGAAAAGAAAAACCGAAGCGACAACTGCGGAACGGTGGGGCCAGTGCCTTACAGGCTGTGGAAGCACAGAAAACACCCGTGAATGCGTGAACTTGGTGTGGAGCTGGAGTTGACGGCAGCTGACGGAGGCTGTGATGAGAGCGGGCGGAGATGGGTTTGGAGGGCTCCAGAGTTGGAAAACCCTTCCGGGCTCCTTCCAGATGCAGCAGAAAGTGGTGGTTAGAAGCCCGGTCTCGGCTGGAAAAGCAACTGAATGCCGTTTTCCTTGTTTGTATTCTTCCTGCTTCTTCCTGTCTCCAACGCCTCTCAATTCAAAGACCAGAAAACGGCATTCAGTTGGTAAAACTGTGGTTTAACAGTGATTCCAAAGCAGTTTTAGTTATGTTGATTTTTAATGCTTATTAAGGGTTCAAATGCAAATGACATGGCAGCTCTGTTCTAGGAAATACATAGAGTGTGGAATGCAGTTATCTAGGGCGAGACTGTGTACCACAGAGTTCTGGGATGTTTCAAACGCTGGAGGTTCAAGGAATGTGAAGCAAAAATACAATAAAATAAAACAATAATGTTGAGAACCAGACCAGTTTAAGGTCAACTGTGCTAACTGTTCCTAGGAGCCTCAGGAGTTCAGAATCAGTGAATTTTGAATTGGTGAAGTCCTCTACGGCACATTTAGGAAGATATGAGTGTACAGGATGATGAGATTATATTCAAAGATAAATAAGTAGAAAAAAATGTTTGTAGTTCATATAATAAAAAACGAACCTACTCTTGTAGATATGTAAATATCTCTAAAATGGACATAAACTGTTAGTCCAGGGTGGTGGCCTACACCTGTCGTCCCAGCCTCAGGAGGCAGAGGCGTAGGTGGAGGAGGAAGGGAGGATGTGTTTTGAGGTTGACACCAACCAGCCTGGGCTACGTAGTGGGTCAAGGTCAGTCTGAACTACATACAGAGACCCTGTCTCAAAAAGGAAAAGAGTGTTCGAAACTTGATAGAAGAAAATGGATAAAGAATGTCGACATAGAGTTCACAGAAAAGCAAAAAAAGTGAAAATATATAAAGATTGCACTGCTAGCAGTAACACTAAATTTTAACAGCTTCCTTAGACATTTCACAAAGAACAATTATATATAACCCTTAGGGTTAAGAAAATGACAAAATATAAGGTGGCTGACTGTGGGCTGAACTTGTATAAACTGTGAGCTTTTTTTTTTTTTTAATTCTAGCCAGGATCTCACTCTAATTCAGGCTGGCCATTAAATCACTATCGAGCCCAGGCTGGCTTCAACTTAGTGATTTCTTGCCTCAGCCTCCCTAGTGCTGGGATTTCAGTCAGGCATGAGTCACCACACCTGGCTTCCTCCTTTTTCATTTTATTAAAATGATAAAATGTATAAAGTTATAGACGCATTTATCAGCAGTTGTATTTCTGAGGAATATACCTTTTTTAGAAAGGGCAAAATTGCCAACTTTCAAAACTCTTTTGCACCCAAATTATCTTAGTAATTTTTTTAAAAAGTGGAATATCACTAAGTCACTGAGTTGCCCGAGCTAAGCTCAGACTTGAGATTCTCCTGTATCAGCCTCCCAGAGTGCTGGAATTATTGGCATGTGTCACCATGTCAGGGAAAAATGAAGTTTAAATTATTATTAATTCATTAAAATGAGTTCTTAAAAACTACTATGAAACAGTTCTTTTCGGAAATGAAATTATGGAGAGGATTGGCATGGTTTCATTATTTTGCCAATCTGTTCAATTTATGGCTTTATCAAAACAACTGCTCTCTCATACATGGCTCTCACACTCTGTGCATTGCAACATGTTGCTTTGTTAGTGGTTTGATTCAGATCTCACCTTATCCAAAGATTTGTATTTGGAAAAGGGGAGAGAAATTCTACTAGCATTTTTAGATAATTTTGCTTTTCCACAACCCTATCAGCTCACTTTTTTGCACCCTGTTGTGCTGAATCTATTGGTCTGTCTTATAATTTGATCACTCTTCTACCCTCCTCTGTAGTTCTGTAACAGTGCGTGTTGGTCATTTGGAAACATAGGCTCTGGATTTGCACATCTGCCAGATGTTGGCCTTGTTCATTACACCAAATAGCACATTTGCCAGTGTCAGCACCGCCATACCCGAGAAGACTGCGGCACAAAGTTCTCATGTTGACAATGGTGAATACAAGTTTTCCAAAGAAATTTTTACATAAAAGTTCCTACTTAATCACTAACAACTAATACGCTGTTTTTTTCTCCCCACATGAAATGACAAGGTGACCTTTATAAGAAAACATCTTCCAAATTACCAAATTTGAAATAACTAGTTCTGTTCAATCTTTCAAAAGTAAAAATGTTTACAAATTGTGTCTAGGCAATCACTGAGATCTGAATCACAGCAGTGCATTTTCTGGAGAAAGCTGTTGAGTTGCCGTAGACAGAATGTTTTTCTATGTTTTCCCTTTTAAATAAATAAATATTTACTATTAATACTTACTAATTATAAAATTAATATCAAATAAATTGGATACTTCAAGATTTAGTATTTTAATCTTCACAAAGTCATAAGGATATTCTTAAAATGTGGCCAGTTTTAAAACTTGGGAGTACGCAAGTATGTAGAGACTTGTACAAAATATAATAAAAGACTACTGTTTGGTACCTCTTAATACCATACCCTAGTAGTTTTATCTATCATCTGTGCAGATGAAAGCACAGTGAAAAAGTAATACTGCATTTTGAATACTATTTGAAGAGATACTTAAGCGAAATACAAAAAGAATAATATGTACCAAATTAATCTTAAGCATTATACTTCTTTTAGTGTTTTTTTTTTTTTTTGAGACAAGGTCTTACTGTATAATTCAGGCTGGCCTCAAAATCTCAGAATCCTCCTGCCTCAGCTTCCCAGCAGGCTGGGATGACAGCTGTGCGTCGTTGTGCTCAGCTAGGAAGGAGCCTTGATGTCTTAAACATTGAATTTTTTTTTAAAGTGTCTGAAAGGACAAAGTGCTACTGATGTGCAAGCAAAAGAGTTTGGTGGGAGCGAGGGCAGGATGCCTGGGAGCCCTGAGGTTTGTCCTATGTTAGGCAAGCTGGCTGGGGAAGCGGGCAGGGGACATTGTGAACAGGAGAGAGAACCTGGAGGGCGCAGTACTTGGGTTTGTGATGTCACCTAGCGTTGGCTCAGTTCAACCAGGAAACTAAGTGAACGAGGAGTAGGCCTTCATTGAGCACGAGTTTCCAGAATTCAGGAAGGATGTATTTTAACAAGATAATTTAAATTGCATTTCTAACGAAAAGGTAGAAATGTCGATCAGCGGTGAATCATATAATTGAGTATAGAAGTGGGGAGGCAGGAGATCATATGTTGATTCCTGGAAAACAACAAAGGAGCAGAAAGTACAGTGTCTCCTGTTTCTTACAAAGTTGCTTTGGTTCTCTTTTGTAATTTCTTCAGTGAGTGGTTCTAGGGTAGTGCAACCTGAGCACCTTGGCTGCAGAATTTAAGGAGACACCCAGCTCTCTGGCTCATGTGTACCTCTGCTACCTCGAAAATAAATGTCTCCTTGTATTTATTTTTCGCAGATACCTCCCTGTTAAGAAGCTCTCAGAGAGTCCTTCACTTTTTGATCTTGCTAAGTACTGAGAGAGCGAACACTGTCTTAAATGTGGGATTGCACCATGAATTGTACAAATTCCTCCAAAGGAGCATCAGCTAGAGGAAGCTGGGCTTCGCCTCCACTATTTCCGTTGCTCCTTCAGGGGCTGTTGCACTTACCTGTTTCTGTGAACGTGTTGTATTTTTTCCACAGAGAAATTCTGTGCTCTGCTGTTGTTGGTAACTATTTTTCAGCCTATTGCTTAAAATTATCAAAAAACTTGAGCCCTTCTGATCGGAAATATTAATATAATGCTATCGTTTTCTTCAAGCGAGTGAGTGCCCAGGTCTGTTGGATTTGAGGAGTCCAGGGTGCGCTGGCCTGCTCTGTCTGCACGGACTAACCTTGCATCTCTGGTGCTTCACTGCAGACCCCGAGGTTACTGAGTGTACCTGCTCCAGAAGAGGAGGGAGTCTGTCCACCTCTTCCTGTTCAGAGTTCAGGAAGGCATTCTGTATCGGGCACAAGCTTCAGCTAGGGACTGCGGCCAGGATGTCCAAAGGATGCAGGCCCCAGGTACAGCACAGCGTGACAGAAGATGCCTTTTGTGAGACACACCTGGAGCCACTAGAGCTGTTCTGTGATGATGACCAGGTCACACTGTGCAGCAAGGGCCTGCGGGCCCAGGACCACAAGCACCACACAGTATATGATTTACAGGTTGCTGCTGAGAAGTACAGGGTAAGTTCCATGCAAATCTCAAAGCACTGGGGCCATCTCCTTTGACGGTTTGACAGATATTCTAATCCTCCAAAACCATCCCCGTAGTTAATATTTATTAAGGAACACTAGACAAATACCATATTTAGTCAAGACTTCACCTTCAAAGCTAGGAAAATAGTCATCCCTGCTATCTTTTTAGTTGGCTAAGGGTAGGAATCCAGTTACTCTAAAGTAATTAACTTTCCTGAAATTCTGTCATGTGTTTCTCTACAGAAATTATTCCAAGAAGTATTGAATCTACTGAGGGAGAAAGTTGAAGTTGCTAAAAGTATATTGGCTGATGAGCAAGAAAGAATGAAGATGATTCAGGTCAGTGCTTATCTTGATTCTTGGAGGAAACTATCAGTAATGTTGGATAACGAATCATATCTTGTAAACAATGTTAAAAGGCAAAACCAGAAAGTGGCAGAGCAGGAAACGATATTTGTAACCCAGGGGGTGTGACATTCTGACATGACAAAGAGCTTTCAGAAGTCTGTTAGAGAGCTGGGTGACATGGCGCACACCTGTAATCCCAGCCCTTGGGAGGCTGAGTCAGGAGAATTCCTGCAGGTTTGAGGCCAACCTGAACTACATAGCAAGGCCCTGCTTCAAAAAAACAAAAACAAAAAAGTCTGTTAGAAATTCAATAGAAAAATAATCAAAGACTTAAATTTTGGAGAAAAGAAAATACAAATAATCCTTTTTTCCCTTTTTAAATTTTTTTCTTTTATTTTTTTTTCTCTTCCTGGTTTTCTTCCTGGTTTTGTTTTCTTTCTGTTATTCTATTTTATTTATTTATTTTGTTTTTTGAGACAGGGTGTCACTTTGTAGTTGAGACTGACCTGGAACTCACTATGTAGCCCAGGCTGGTCTTGAACTCACAGCGATCCTCCTGCCTCAGCTTCGCGAGTGCTGGGATTACAGGCGTGTGCCACCATGCCCGGATCTTTCTGTTATTTTTATAAATATGTTTTATACTTCTGAAAAGATTTTGAAATCTGCTCATAGTAAGAGCAATTAAAAAAATTTCTTTTTTTGTACTGGGAATAGAACTTGGACCTTGTACTTGCAAGACAGGCAGCAGCACCAGTGAGCTAAATCCTGGACCTTTGCAAGTAAAAATTATATTAAATTGTGATACGGTACTTGTGAGTCTCTTTGGGAAAGACCAAAGAACCAAAAGATTCACAGTTTATAACACCGGCATAGGAAAAGGAGCATCTCAGGTGTTTCTGGTGGCCATAGAAATTGTGAAACCCTAAAGGGCGACTAGGAGCTGCTATCCAAAGTGAGGGCTCCCTGTCTGCTGTGCACATTTCATTTCTCCTTTCAAACTGTGTCTTCATACTTAACCCCATATGGTTCCACACATTCCAGATTCTGGGTGTTTTCTCTCAACTTTCCCATATACATGTCCATTTGGAGGTACTACGGGAGAATAATTACCAAATGTGTAACTTCTCAATCAATCCCCACTTCTCAACTCCAAACACGATATATTTAACAAATATTGAAGTCCCACTATTTACTAGCGGAGTCTGAGAGGTTCTGGGTAGTTGGCATTGAAAACCCATTTTGACTATGAAACTTCACATAGACATAAATAGAATAAGTTATACACATATTTTACACTGTAATTCCGAGAAGGAGGTAAAGGATTAAACTGTGTAGGAGTCTTGCAAGCAGAGGATATTATCAGACGTACAGAGTCAGACACTGTCCTGTACCTGACTGCTGGGTGAGCCGGTGAGAGGGCAAAGTGGATGCTGCAGGTGATGAGATCAGAAGATCAAAGCCCTAATAACATCGGACAGTTAAAATAGAATAATGAAATCACTAAAAGTCATTGCAGGAGGAAGACCTGAAAGGAAACTTTGCAAATATCAGGACAGGTCGTGGAGAACTGGTAGCAGCTGAGGTGGTGTGTAATTAATTGTCAGATTCTTAAACTAGTTCCACTGAATCTCACAGGATTAAAGAGATGGTGTAAGATCACTACTTCCAAATTTATATATCTTGTCTAGTGTTCCCCAAATGGAATACTTGAGTCCAATCCCTACGGCATCTCTCCTTGGATGTCTAATTGACTAATCAAATGTGTCATATCCAAAACTGAGTTCCTGATACGCTCTCTGCTCCCAGCATGTAGACTTTTCCATTGTTTCTCTTCCTTCTCTTTTGGTAACTCCTTTCTTTTTGGTACATTAGTCTAAAAGCCGTGGTGTCTTCTATCCTGAATCCATTTTTCCTACACCTGCCCTTTAACTTGTCAGCAAATCTCCTTGGCACCACTTTCAATTTCAAGACTGGGTTGATGTCTTGACTAATCTTAAACCAGATTTTCTTTGTCCTTTGGATTTATGCCTGTAATTTTTTCTCCTGCACTTTCTACTTCTTTGTCTTACATTATGGTTAGAGATACAACCCATGTTATGCACGAAGCTTTCCCTATACTTCTCAGCAGCCACCTGTAAACCATAAACTGTGTGGTGCTTGTGGTCCTGGGCCCATAGGCCCCTGCTGCATAGTGTGACTTGACATCATCACAGAACAGCTCTAGTGGCTCCAGATGTGTCTCACAAAAGGCATATAGAGATATAGGCTACGCATTTGTGGTCTGTTACATTAATCTAAATTTTATTATGTCGATATTTGAGGAAGGAAGAGGAGCAGAATTTTAAAGAGGTAATTGAGTCTGAATATAGGATAAGGTTTCAGCTCTTGAGAGAAGAGAATGAGATGATCTTTCTGAGACTCCGAGAAAGCAAATTTGACTTGAATTTGAGAGAAGCTAATGAGAATCAATTGATGAGACTTGCTACAGAGCTAGAAGAGAAATCCCAGGAAATGCTACAGGTGAGTTATTGAAAATAACATCTTGACAATATTTGGGAAATTAGAAGAGCTGTACATGTGGCTATATGGAGGGCCACTGGGAAAAATAAAAGACCGGGGGCCATGGTGGCACACAACTGTAATCCCAGCACTCTGGGAGATGGAGACAGAGGATGACAAGTCCAAGCCCAGCCTGGGCAACTTAGTGAATTAGTGAGAGCTCTTGTGCCAATACTAAAGAATAAAAAGAAGGGTTGGGGGTACAGCTCACTGCAAAGGTCCTAGGTTCTTCAATCCTTAGTTTGGCAAAACAAAAAAAAACCCAAATGAACAAAAGAGAAGGAAACTAGAACCAGTGGCTTTATTTCAATTCTGTTATTTGTTGACATAAATTAAGTTTCATTATAGTAATGTTAATTGATTTTATTTTAATGAAGGAAATAGTAAACTTTCTGAACCAAGTGCCTAGCAGAAAGTGTTTTCGGGCACATTGTTAATCAGAGTAAACAAACCACATGGATGCAACACTTTAGATTCAACATCTGAAGTACCAAAAAGACATCTTTTGAAACACGTCTCACTTGACACTAGAGAACATTTAAGGTTTTATCTAATTACGTCTGTTTCTGGGGTTGCAAACAGGAAAAAATGGACTTTTGTTTATTTCTTCCTTTGATTTGGTTAGGTTTGGTTTGGTTTTTGGGTTTTTTGTTTTTTTTTTTTTGGTGCTGGGGATTGAACTCGGGTCCTTGCGCTTGCAAGGCAGGCCACCGAACCGCTGAGCTAAATCCCCGGCCCGGTTTTGGCTTTTTGATACAAGGTCTTACTGTATTGCACAGGCTGGCCTGGAATTGACGGCAGTTTTCCTGCCTCCGCCTCGCCAGTGCTGGGATTACAGGTGCGTGCCAGCACACCAAGGAGGAAAACAGGTTTCTAAGGACATGTTTGACTACTGAGGAAGAGAAGCTACTCGTAGTTCAATAGTAATAGAGATTCTTCTGCAGAGACTGGACTCCTGGGTGAGAGAGAACACGAATAAACTGAAAGAGAGTGAAACCGAGGTTTCTGAACACCTTTGCAGCCTCCAGGAGCTCACCACAGAGCTGCAGAAGAAGTGTGGGCATCCTGCAGCAGCCTTGCTCCAGGTGAGACTGAAAAAGCCTCGTTACAGTGTTTGAGAAATGAGAAGTGGACAGCTCTCCTCGGGGTCACTTACAGAACACAGCATCCTTGGTGGTAATGTAAATTAAGGCAGCCACTATATAAGCAGTTTCTTTAAAAAATCAAAATATAACTATTCTCATCAAAAAAAAAAAAAAAATAGAACGGGCTGGGCATTTAGCTCAGTGATTCGGTGGCCTGCCTTGTAAGCGCAAGGACTGGGTATATTTGCAGAGGAGATTATAGTCGGTATGTCAGTAACATCTGCACTCCGGGGTTATTGCAGTACCCTTCACAGTAGCCAAGAAACAGAGCAGCCTTAGGATCTATCAGTTGATGAGAAGATAAATACAGTGTGTTTCATATACTGGATGGGATAATGGGATCTCTTCAGCCATGCAAAAAGATGAAATCCTGTCATTTAGGACAATCTGGATAAAACTATGAAATCATAATATTATGTGCACCCAGACAGGGACAGGAAGATGAGAACCACATGTCTCATTCATGTGGATAATCTGAACAGGTTGGCTTCAGAAGGTGAGAGTAGGGGCCAAACGCTGGAGAAAATAGAGAAAGGAGATGGAAAGAGTTTGATCAGTGGGTACTAAGTCATAGATAGGGAAGGCTAAGAAGTTCTGGTGTGTAACAGCACAGCATGGCCAATGTAGATAATGGTAAAACACTATAAACTGTATTTCAGAAAGGTACAAGAGGGGATTTTGAATGTTTTTACCATGAGGAAGTTTTAAAAACGTTTTTTTTGAGACAGAATCAACTAGCCCCAACTTGAATTTGTAATCCTCTTTCCTCATCTTCCAGAGCAGCTGGGATTCCAGTTATTTACCATCATAATTTTTTTTTTTTTTTTGGTACCGGGGATTGAACTCGGGTCTTTGAGCTTGCAAGGCAGGCCACCGAACCACTGAGCTAAATCCCCGGCCCACCATCATAAATTTTCGAGGAAATATGTACATTTATCCTGATTTAAATATTACACATTCTATACATGTATTGAAACATTGTGATGCCTTATATCAAATGTTTATGTTTTTTAACATCTGTGAAAAACTTTGGAATTTAAAAAGCATTTTGAATTGTCATGAAGTCATGGTAAAAATTCTCGCCTTAAAATTATCAACAGTAATTTGAATTGAGATTCAATAGGATGAATAATTCATCAAAATATGATGCATCCGCACAATCGGATTTCTACAACCATAAAAAAAACCTCCATAGGCACTGAAATAGTATCTTCAAGATATCATTAAGTGAAAGAAATTCAGAACTGCTTTTCGTTTGGTTTTTGGAGAACAAGTGTATGTGTATGCATAATATATGTACTTGTTAATATTCATAGACTTTAAGGGGAAAAAACCCACATACCTTACAATCAGTGGTATCCTTGGGAAACAAGAATGAGATTAGTTTGTGCAGTGTTTGCCATGTTGGGAAGGTTTGTGTGTCCCCTAAAAATGTATGTTAAAATCTCACTCAGAGGGCCACGTATTAGGAGGTGGGCGTACTAAGATCTGGGTGGAGCTGTAGTGAATGGAATTAGTGCTCTTGTAGAAGGTCTTGAGAAAGACTCCTGCCCCTTTAACCATGCAAGTTTTGAGAGGGATAAAGGCTACTGTTGGGCTCTCATCAGACACCAAAGCTGCCAGTGTCTGGATCTTAAAATTCCCAGTCTTCAGACTGACAAAACATGCATTTTTGTGATCCATCAGCTACCCGGTCTGATACTGTGTTATAGGAGGCTGTAACTTCTAAGTGTTATAGACTGAATATTATACTTTATTCACTAATTACATTGTAGCTACCAAAAATAAGCTACTAACTTTTAAAGACTCTACTTGTATTACTCTACCAGGTCCGTATTTGTCATGAGTACATTCATTTGAAGAATCTTTGTAGCTACGTGTGTATACTTGTATGCATCTATATGTAAATAAAATGAAACTCAAAAATTTTAATTAAAAATAAATGTTTTAAATAACAAATTTAAAAATGAATTTTTACATTTTTTTATTGATATATTCCTGTAGTACATAATTATTACATTCTCCTGGTCAGGGGATACTGTACATAGCAAATCATAATAATTCTTTTTATTTTATTGATACATTTTAGGTATACAATATGATGGCATTCATCATTGCAGAAATTGTATCTTTACATAATATATCTTTTTTTTTTGGAGGGGTGATTATGGGACAGAGTCTCAATGTAGTTGAGAATGTCCTAGAACTCGCTATGTAGCCCAGGCTGGTCTTGAACTCACAGTGATCCTCCTGCCTCAGCCTCCCGAATGCTGGGATTACAGGCACGCACCACCACACCCGGCTTTGCACTTACCAAACATGTTCTATGTTCAAGTATGTGGTGTATTTTAGAGGATAACCCATGTTCAGCTGAAAAGAACAAGTATTCTGATTTTGTGGGGTGGGACACTCTGTAAACATCTGTTAAATTCATTTGTTCGAGTTTGATTAGTTCTAGCATTTTGTTGTTTTCTGTCTAGTTGATCTATTTGTGACAATGGGGTATTGGGGTCCCCCACTACTATTGCATTAGAGCTTATTTGATTTTCAATGTCCATTAGCATTTGTTTTATATTATTGGGCGCACTTGTGTTTGGTGCTTATATGTTGATTGCCATCTCTTCCTCTTGGATTGTTCCCTTTACAAGAATGTAGTATCCTCCTCTGTCTCTCTAAATCAGTGTTCACTTGAAATCCTCTTGATCTTCAAAGAGGTTAGGTACTTCTGCTTTTGGGTTCCTGTTGCATGTTGTTTTCCACCCTTTAACTTTCAGTCTTTGAAAAGTTTCTTTTTGAATTAAGTGTGTTTCTTGTATGCAGTGTACTGTTGGATCTTGCTTATTGACCCATTCTGTCAGTCTATTTCTTTTGATTGGTGAATTGATACCATTAATATTGATGGATATAACTGATGTATTGACTTATCCTTTTCATGACATTTTCTTTTTGTTGGATTTCCACACTTGGCATTTAATTTCTTGTCTTACCTGATGAATTCATTCTGCTGTGCTTCACGAGGTTGTGATCCTCATTATCTTCCTAGAATATTGTTTAAAAGTTTTAGAGTGGTGGCTTGGTATTCATGAAGTTCCTAATGTGCTCTTTGTCATGCAAGTATCTTATTTCTCCATTCATTTTGAGTGATAGTTTTTCAGGGTACATAAATCTGGGTTGGAGAGTTTTTTCCTTTAGAGCTTGAAATATATCATTCCAGGCTCTTTTTTCCCCTGAGGGTTTGTATTGAGATGTTTGCTGTGATTCTGATGGGCTTTCCTTTGTACGTGATTCGTTTCTTTTTTCTAACTTCTTGTAGAATTTGATTCTTCTCTTGGGTTTCTGGAATCTTAACTATCATACGCCTAGGTGTATTTTTTTTTTTTTTATCATGGCTAGTTGGAGTCCTTTATGCCTCACTTATCTGTGTGTCAGGTTCTCCCCCCCTGAGAAGTTTTCTGCAATTACTTCTGTGAACAGTTTTTTTGTGTGTGTGTGTCGCTTGCACTTTCTCCTGTTTCTTCATTAACTCTGATCAGTCTTATGTTGTTCTTGTGTCATCTAGCAGCTGCTGGATCAGTTTATCATGGTCCCTTTTTTTGTTGTTGTTTTTGTTTTTTTGTACTGGGGCTCAAACTCTGGTCTTTGCACTTGTGAAGCAGGCAGCAGAACCACTGGGTTAAATCCCCAGCCCAAGTCCCTTACTATTTTTAAAAAATTTTTCTTTTCCTGGTCACTAAGCCCAACCCTGTCTCCTATAGACATTCTGTCCTCACCTTGGCTCATTCTGCTGTGTGAACTTTCAGTAGAGTTTTTAATCTCCTAGCATCTCTTTGCGTCTGTTTTATGGATTCCATTTTTTTCCCTATGTTGAAATTCCATCATGTTCCTCAGCTCCTCTATATTTTTATGTTTGTCCACACTGGATTTATTAATCATGTCTTGCACTATGGGCACAATCTCTTGTTGTTTTCTGAAAAATTATTGATGATTTCATTTTTTCCAGATCCTCTTTTATTGCCAGCTCAGGGTGTTCAGGTGGTTGAGTATCAGATTGTTCCATCTCTTTGCCCTAGGGGGTTGCCTTAGGTGTTCTAAAAGTCTCGTTTTGAGACTTGTTTATGTGTTTTCTCATTTCAGTAGATGCGACCTGCTGCATCTTTGCTGAGGTGACTTTTTGCTCATGCAGGTGGTCTTCAATTCTCAGCAAGCCACCTAGAAGCCCTTTCCCTGATGCTCACCTGATGGTATTGGGGCGGGTCTCTGGCTGTTGCTTTTTCCCCTGTGCAGTTCTTTTTTATGTGGGCCTTTGGCTGGACCTGTGGGTCCCAGCTGCTGGGGTCAGGGCGGGGCCCTGGGTAGGACCTTTTGCAACCATGCTGCTCTGGTCACTGCCACCTTCTTGTCATTCTTTTTTTATTATTACTCCTTTCCTTCCATTTCCTTCCCCCTGCTTCTCTATCTCTTGATCGCCTTCACTTTTCATTACCTATCACCACATTTCCTGTCCTTTCATCACTTATTTATAGTTTTCCTTTCTCATATAAAAAAACCCATTATTTAATATGTATTACCAATATTTAAGCTTTTGTGTGTGAATTATTTCACTTAATTATGATCTCGTGCATCTTGTTTTCCTAAAAATGACTCAAGTTTATCCTTCTTTATGGCATAGTAGTACTCTGTTATGTGTAAATTTTAAAAAATCTATTCATCTGTTAATGGACATAGAGGCTGCTTCCAGTATTTAGCTATTATGAGTTGTGTTGCTGTATATGGGCATATGGATATAACACTGTACTATAGAGTCTTTTCCTCTTTCAGGAAGATACTTAGAAGGGGAGTAGCTAGATCCAATGGAATTTCTATTTTTAGTTTTTTGAGGAGTCTCCCTACTGATTTCCGTAGTGGCTTGCATTTCCACCAACAGGGTAGATGGATTCCTTTTTCCCTGCAGCTGTGCTAGTGTTTATTATTTTTTGATTTCTTGATGATAGCCATTCTTTCTGAAGTAAAGTGGAAACTCATTTTGTTTTAGTTTGCAATTCTCTAATGCCAAAGATGCTGAACCTTTTTATGTATTTACTGGCCATTTATACTTCTTCTGAGAAGCTTCTATTTCAATTGCCCATTTTTTAATTTAATGTTTTATTTTTCAAGGCCTGATTTTTTAAAAATGCTTTACATGTTCTAGATATGGAGTAGCTACAAAAAAAAATTTTTTTTCCCCATTCTGTAGGTTGTCTCGTCACTCTGGTAGTTCTTTGCTTTGCTGCCCAAGTTTTAAAAATTTTTATATGATCCCCTTTATTGATTCTTGGAACTATTTCTTATACAATTGAGGCTCTGTTCAGAAAGTCCTGGTCTACCTTTATGTCTTCAAGAGTTTTACCTATTTTATCCTCCAGAAGATTAAATTTTTAACATGTAGATCTCTGATCCATTTTGATTTTAGTTTGGTACATGGTAAGAGATGCTGGGGTAGATATAATCCTCTGCATGTGGGTAGGCAGTTTTCATAACACTATCTGTTAAAAATACTGTCATTCTTCCAGCATAAGTTGTTGGCCCCTTTGTCAAAGACCAGATGGCTGAATGTACCTGGGAATGCATCTCCATTCTCCATGCTGTTCCATTGACCCATATCTGTTTTTGAGTCAGTACCATGCTGTTTTCTCTCTATTTTTAAAGTATAACATGGGATTGTGATGTCTCCTGCTTTGTTCTTGTTGCCCAGTACTGCTTTTGCTATTCTGAGTCTCTAATTGTTCTGTATGAATTTTTGGATTGTTTTCTCTAGTTTTCGGAGGGATGCTGTTGGTAATTTCATTGGAATTGCATTAAATCTATTTTGCCAGTTGTTTACCATTTTTTGCTGGACACAGTTGGCAGTAGAATTAGCATGACCATTTTGACCAGATTGGTTTTGCCTATCCAGGAATGGGATATTTTTCATTTTCTGACGTCTCTGGATCTTTTTCAGAGTACTGTAGTTTTTGTGACAGAGGCCTTTCAGTCCCATGGTTAACTTCTAAATATTTAACTTTTCTTTATGCTGTTGTCAATGCTATTGTTTTCCTAATTTCATTCTCAGTGAATTTATCACTGGTGTGTAGGGATGCCATTGATTTATGTCCCTTGGCTTTATATCCTGTTACATTGTTGAATGTATTTACTCTAGGAGTCCTTGGATGAGAGTGTGTGTGTGTGTGTGTGTGTGTGTGTGTGTGTGTGTCTTGTGTAATGGATGATGTCATGTGCAACAGTGAATTTCCTCAGCTTTCATTTTTCTAGAATGTTTTTATTTCTCCTTTACTTTAAAAGAATATCTTTGCTGGATGCAACATTTGTACTGAGTATAGTCGGCAGTTTTTCCCTTTAGCACATTAAATATTCATCCTACTTTCCTGCCCAGGATTTCTGTTGAGAAGTTCTAACTCCTCTTCTAGGTGTAGTGGAACATATTCATTCTATTCTGTTTTTTCTTATTGCTTTCAACTCTTTTTCTTTGACCTTTAAAACTTTGATTATAATAAGTCATGGAATTTTCTTATTTGGACTGGATTTTATGAGTGACCTTTGACCTCATCTGGATTTAAAATTTTTCTCAATTCTTGAAAATTTTTGTGACTATTCCTTTGAATAACCTTTTTTTATAGTTCTCTAGTCCCTCTTTCATACAAAAGATTATGGATTTATGAATTTTTTTCTCATAACATCTCATATATTTTTGGTTCATTCTCATTTTTTGCCTGTATTTCTGGGTGTCTTTGCACTTACTGATCTTTTCTCTTGCTTAATCAATTCTGTTGATACTTTCTATTGCATGATTCATTACATTCATAATATTTTTCAACTGTAGGATTGCTGTTAGATTTTGTTTTTTTATTTCAATATTTCTGTTTAAAATTTTCAATGAATTGGGGGAATATTGCTCTTTGTTTTCTTCAAGTTTACTGAGTTGGTTTGTTTGTTTGCTTGCTTGTTTTTTGCAGTACTGGGGATCAAACTCAGGAGGACCTTGCGCTTGCGAGGCAAGCATGGTGCCACTAAACTAAATCCCCATCCCTACTGAGTTTTCTTAAAATAACTACTTCAAATTCACTTTCTGGAAAATTCATTTGTATGTCTTTAGGATTAGTTGTTCGCACTTTGTTTTTTCTATTCATTGAGGCCATATTTCCTTGATTATTCTTATTTTGTGTAAATTTGTATCTCTGTACATTGACATAGTTGGTATTTATTCTTCACAATGTAGGCTTATTAGTCAGTATTCTACTTTTTTATTGACTTGTTTAAAAATCTGGTGAACCTTTGGTTGTGTACTTCTTTAGCATCAGGGGGCACAAAAGCTCAGATTGACTGCTTATTTTGTAGTATCCCAACTGGAGGAGCTCTGGGGAGTCTCAAAGAAGACTTCCAACTTCCACACCAGCACACACCTAAAGAACCTGTCTAGTGCAGTGTCTTTCTGGCAAAGATGGAGCCATCAAGTTCTGTGCATTGGCTACTGTGTCCCTATCCCCTCTCTCTCTCTCTTTATCACTTTTAGCTTCACTGGGTACTACTCCATGTGGGCTGATCAAAGAGTCAATCTTCTGCAAAAGATTTGGAATGGTTGGAATGCCAAATGCCCCCGCCATCACTCTTTGTAGTGGAGAAATTGTGAGAAGTGTAAAATTTTCTGCACTTGGTATGACAAGTGCCTTGTGGGAATAGATATTGTGGCTGCAGAGAATGATTCTCTGCACCATCCAAACATGGCCCCACTCATCTTTGCTGTCCAAAAGGATTCCACAGATTCACTTCCTGGTTCCTTAGCTGTCGCTGTCATGTACAGATTGATGCTCAAAGTGACATTTCTGTGGAGAATTCACACTGGGGAGCCGTACTCCATTGTGTTGCTCCCTTTCAGTATTTCAGCTGAATTTGAAGGTTTTGTGGGTTGCTAGCGAGTCAGTCTGAAATCACTAAGTTATAGTTTTTAAAAATCATGTTATAATTTAGACAAAAGACAAAATAAAGTGGACTTGGCACACATTGTTTCTCAGTTGAGATGCTTGCCTCATTTTGAATTTGTGTTTAGTTTATGACAGGAGAGCTTGGGCTATGAATCTCCAATTAATAGAGATTAGCTTCTGTAATCTTTCAGAGCTGAATATGTAGAGTCACGTAAACTCCAAGTTACGGTGTAACACTCCTACGCTTGAACAATATGAATAGAAAAGTGGTCTAAATTTTAATAAAACTCATCTTTGACTTAGGTCAATCTATGATTGACTTGTAATCAGCTCTTTTGCTTATCTTTCTAACAGAGGAAATAGAGAAAATCCCCTGTAGGGATCTCTGATGTTTCTATGATTGTTTTGTACACAATCACCTGTATGCAACAAAATATTTCCATGTAAAGTGATAAAAATGACCTTTCACTGGAGAATAAAAAAGAAGAGGGCCAGGGATTTAGCTCAGTGGTACCGCACCTGCTTCAAAAGTACAAGGTCCTGAGTTCAATCTCCTGTGCTGCCAAAAAAACAAAACAAAACAAAAAAGTAGTAAAAAAAAGAAAACTGAATGAGAAATTCTTCAGTAGTATCAAGATGATTCAGGCAGTAGAACAAGGGTACATAAGAAAATGATCATTAGCATTAATACATAAGAAAGTGTATGTAGACTCTCAGTCAATTCAAGTTTATCAAATGATTTTGTAGAACAGTATTATAGTACCATAGAACAATATTTAATTGAACAGTATAGAGAACAGATCATAATTACTTAACTGTAGTTAATTGGAAAATAAGTCAATGGAAAAATACTTACATTGAAGCACACAGAGAAAAACCATAAAAATAAGGTAACATATATGGAACAAAGATACAAGTTTTAACAGTCTTAATATTGGCGTCACAGAGCACAAAGCCAATTGAATATAGGGAATGTTTAAAGAACTATTTGTTAGTAGTTTTTTTAAAGGGAGAAAATATTTTAACCCACTGCTTCAGAGTGGGTCACGTATTTATCAGAAGTGGTTATAATTTTTCTCTTGCTTTATTCAGACTTTCATTTTATCTCCTATTAATTCAGACTTTCAGCTAGTCTTGCATCATTTTGGATGTACATCAGGAGCTTCTATTTGATAAAACTTCCATCCCTTTATTGATAATCAGAGTATCTTTTGGTACAATCTGTATTCTCATTTGTTAGTTGTAACTTTTTTGTAATATATATATATATATATGCACAAATTACTGTGAACACTTTCTCGGCAAGCTTATGATAAAATACAGTGAATATTTACATTTAAAATTTAATTAGAGGGTCAAGGACTTCGCTCAGCGGTTCGGTGGCCTGCCTTGCAAGTGCAAGGACCCGAGTTCAATCCCCGGTACCAAAACATAAATAAAAAATAAAATTTAATTAGAAATGAAGGTTTATAATAGCTAAAACTTTAAAACGAAATTAAAGTCTTAAAGAATAAAGTCATTATTGAGAAGTCTGCAGGCAAACCTGTGAGGCACAGTTCAGATCTAGAGCCAAGTTTCATCCCTCACGGTGCAGTGGATATGACCCAGTTGCGCTCAGTTCCTGATCTGGCTCCAGCTCCCTCCAGACCTAGGGGCCCCTTTGTCTACTCCAGTCTTACCACGTTCGGTACACAAAGCAAACAAATGATCACCATTGTGAGCAGCGCTCCCCTTAGGGATACAACAAAATTATACCAAGCAATTTTTGTAACTCCATGTTAAAATTTGGTTTCTCAGAATTAGTTCTGAGACCGAAGAAGATACATGGAATCAAGTGTTCATCGTTGCAAAAGAGGATATTTCTATATGCACAGCTTACAAACCATATGGCTTAAATACTCAAGTAACCATTTCTTTTTTCCTTCCTAGAATGCAAGATACTGCTTGGAAAGGTAAGTTTTCATTTTGGACACAGTGTATATTTCTATATGCACAGCTTACAAACCATATGGCTTAAATACTCAAGTAACCATTTCTTTTTTTCCTTCCTAGAATGCAAGATACTGCTTGGAAAGGTAAGTTTTCATTTTGGACACAGTTGAGTCAGATTGGAGTGCAGAGGTTGCGGGTGTTAGGTCTGACCGGGAGATTATATCTACTGAGCAAATGTAACGAGATTGGCCCTCTACACAGCGGGCCTTAGGGCCTGGGCAGCCAGTGGAGATTGTCTTTATTTCCTTTTTTTTTTTTTTAATAGAAATGAGTCACTGCTTCTTCAGTCCCTAGTGCCTGCTCGTATCACAGACCTGTGTTTATGTCAAATAAAAAGAAGGACCAAAATACTAACAGTGCATCAAAGTAAGTTGACATACACCCATGAGTACCCAATACATTATTCTGTTTTAAGAGTCAAGTTATCATGGGGCATGGTGGTACATACCTGTAGTTCCAGCGCTCAAGAGGCTAAAGCAGTAGGATTGCCATTAAAAAAGGATTTATATATCTTCTCACTAATATAGTTTTGCTTTTCCCAGAATTTCATGTCAGTGGAGTCATAGAGTATCTTAGAAATAGTGTGTGGCCTTTGGAATGTGGCTTCTTTCACTTGGCATAATCCAGCAAGATACATCCCAAGTTACCATGTATATCAGTGGTTTGTTCCTTTTTATTGTTGGTAGTATTCCGTTTTATAAACATACCATCATTATTTACCCCTTCAGTTCCTTGGACATTTGGGTTGTTTCCAGATATGTGCTGTTCATTTTGCATGCAGATATTTGTATAAGCATGACTTGGTAATTCTTGGTTGACTGTGAAAGAAAGAGTAAGATTGCTAAACCTGTTTCCCAAACTACCTTTGCAATTTTTCATGCCTATCAGTAATGCATGAGAGATTCAGTTACTCTACATCCTCACTGGCATTTTTTACCATCGGTTTGTTTTATTAAAGCTGACTTACAGTTTGACAGTGGTATCTCACTTTTATTTTAATTTGTATTTCTGGGATGACTGGTGTTTGGATATATTTTCATGTGTTTATCATTTACCCTCTATGTCGCTGTTGTGGTGACATATATAACCAAACTTTTACTCTATTTCTAAAATTAAATTTCATGTTTTTCTTACTGGGTTTTGGGATTTCTTCCTGTATTCTGCTTATCAGTTGTTTTGCAGATATGTGTTTTGCAAGTATTTTCTCTTAGATTTGTATTATCATTTTCGCAATGAGGTCTTTTGAAGAATAGTAATTTTGATGAAATTCAATTTATCACATTAGTTTTTCTTTTATAGTTTTAGGTTTTCTTAGAAAATAAGTCTTTGCCTGCCTCAACAGAGATTTTCTTCTAGAAATTATAGTTTTATGTTTTACATTTAGGTCTATTATGATCTGTTGGAATAAAGCTTGCATATACTTCACAAAATGGTATAAACACACCTCCGGTGTTTTTCCTGTTATTTTGTGCATAGATATCCAATTATTTTAATGCCAACTGGAGATGATGTTTCAGTATCATTTGTTGAAAACACTGTATTTGGCGTGTCTGTTGAACAGGTGTATGCCAGCAGGCCTGTCGTGGATTCTAATAGGTCTGTAGATCATTGTGTCTTTTTGCCGATACTACGCTGACTTGATGGATAACTCTATAGGAAGTCTTGAAAGCCGGCACTGTGAATTCTCCTAATTAATTAATTATGTGGCTTGTTTTTTTTTTTTCCCCATACCAGTGATCAAACTTCTGCCCTTGCACTTGCGTGCAAGCCTATTAATTATGTGGTATTTTGTAACAACACCCTGCTATTGTGCAGGCTTGCGTGGGGCTTGCTCAAGATGGCCTCAAACATGTAGTCCTCCTGCCTCAGCCTGTCAAGTGCTGTAGTTACAAGCAAGGGCCACCACACACCACTCAAAGTTACTCTTTTTCAAAAGTTTGTCTAATCTAGAGTCTTCCCACATAAATTTTACAATCAACTTATTGATTTTTTTCATAGTAAAATTGCTGGAATTGAATGGTTCTGTGTACAAACTGTAGGTTCGTTTGGGCAGAATTTAAAACTGAAAATGTCAAGAAATATTAATGTGACGACAAATATATTTTTGAGATCAATTCCTACTATTTTATTTTTAGTGCTATTATAAGTAGTATTTTTGTTTTTTGGAGTTTTGGGAGTTTGTTTGTTTTTGTTTTTTGGAGACAGAGTCTCACTATGTAGTTGAGACTGATCTGGAACTCACTTTGTAGCCCAGGCTGGTCTCAAACTCAAGGCAATCCTCCTGCCTCAGCCTCCTGAGCGCTGGGATTACCACACCGGGCCTATAAATAGTATTTCTGAATATTAATTTACAATTGAAATTGTATCTATTTCTAGTTTAGTAATATATAGAAATACAAATTATATTGTCACTTGTATCTTATGACTGATAAACTTGTTCATTAGATCTAGTGGATTTTTTAAATGTATATAGGTTCCTTGAGATTTTCTTCTAGGTCAGTCATATATTCTATAAGGGTTGATCAAAAATTATAATATGTGTTTAAATAGAAAAACAATTACTATTATAGCAAGACGTGGTAGCACACGCCTGTAATGCCTGCACTCTGGAGGCTGAGGAAGGAGGATCACCACAACTTTGAGGCCAACCTGTGCTGCAGAGTGACTTCAAGGAAATCTTGACATGCATAGCAAGACACTGTCTCAAAAATATTTATTTTTGTAAAAGATATTTTTTGCTGGAAATAATAAGATACATTACCATTCCCCCCAAATGCTCCTCCAAACTTCCGAGACACACACCCCATCATTCTTGCCAATCCTCTTGCAAGAGTGTCCTTACGAGGTATGATCAAAACCATGATGAATGCTGGTGCCAAGTGCTGTTCAGTTGAAAGACAGACTCCTAAAACCATCACAGTGCATCCTCATTTAACTTATTCATCAGATCTGGCTCTTCCCGAAAGCCAAGTGACCACAAACGGTAAATGTTTTTAATTGATTTAGAACATCAAGGCAGCCACAGCGGCACAACTAAAGACCCAAGTAAGGACTTGTACAACTGCTTGAGAAAGTGACAAGAATGTTAAGATCATTGTGTTCCAAACAAGGGTGGGTATTTTGAAGTGAATTAATGGCAATGAGTCTTTTACTGTAATAATGTTTTTAAAATAAACTTTCCCCCTAGTTTTTGTCGTGCTTCATACAAATATGAAGAATTTAATTTTTTCTTTCCAATCTGTAATCCTCTTCTGTATTTTTCTTGCCTTGATGTGCTATTGCAGAACTGCAGTGTTTTGACCAGGAGTAGTGAGAATGGATACTTGCCTTAATCTTGATCATAGGGGAAAAGCAAGCACTAAGCCTTTCACCCTAAAATTTGATGTTAATTATTGGCTTTTTATAGTTGCTGTTCAATCAGTTAAAGAATCTCTGTATTTTTAATTTGCTGAAAATTTTTATCATGAATGGAATTTACCAAGCACTTTTTCTGTATTTCTTACTGTTTTTCTAATGAAACTTAATAAAGTGGATTGTACTGATTATTTTTTATACATTGAAATAGCCTTACATTCCTAGGATAAACACTTGATAATGCTTTGTTTTTATATATTGGTAAATTTAATGTGCTAACATTAAGAATTCTTCATTTAGATTCATGAGTGATAATCAGTCTATAGCTGCTGTCTTGGTAATTACCACTAGCACATGGAAATTAACTCATTTTGCTTTTGATATCTGGGTGATCTATTTGGATGTTCATTCAAATTGTTTAGTCTTGCATTTTGGTTTCTTATAATCTGTATACATTTTTTTGCTAAGCATGCACTCTACCATGGAACTACACCCCCATTCCTGTATCCTGTACAGATACTTTTAATATTTTGTTTTTCAAGCATAGAAAGCAAAGTCATTTTAAAGGCTATACATCCCAGTATTTAAAATTCCCTACAGATTGATTTCTGCCAACTACTAGGTCAGCAGTAGTTTTCTATTTTGTGGGTGTGTGTCTATTAACTTTTGATACTCAGTTGATCTTTGTTCCTCAGATATTATTTTTAGAAATTCTTTAGAGCCAGGAATAAAGCTGTATATGTTTTCAGAGAAAGTTTACAATGTATCTGCTAGCCTCCTGGAAATACTGAGTCTGGGCTGACTTGCAATTTAAAGTTCCAGGCGTGTGGCATGTGAGACTCCTCTAATAATGTGAATTGGTCTGCCAGTCCAAGCAGTTAAGTTAATTAAATTTTCTGAAGTTAAGTAATAGAAGTTAAAGAACTTGCTGCTGGATTAGACAACAGAGGAAATAAGAACTACAGAACTATTCCAGGTTTATAGCTTAATCAACTAAAGCAACAAGGGTACTGTTAACTCAGGAGCACTGTTAACTGAGGAGAGTGGAGAGGAATGAGTTTGGGTTCCATTTTGAATATATTATGTTTGGCATTTCTGTGTTATACCAAACTAGTAATTGGAAGTTTGCTTGTGGGGTGAAACATGAACATATAGAAAATATTTAAAACTGAGGCTGAGGTCACCTTCAGAAGAAAATAAAAATAGCAAAAGGAAAAAAGTCCCCAGGACCAAGCTCTGAAAAAAAAAATCACAAATTTGGAGGTTGAGCAGAGATAGGAGAAGGAGCAAAGATATGTAAAGGGGCAGGTGGCAGTTTCCTTCAAGTGTAAGGAATCACAGTGAGAACAATTTGCATTCTTGTTTGATTTTTATGGAGATTCTCTTAGGTTTTCTAGCCTCTGTTAATATGTTCTCCTTTGATTTACTTAGTATCAAGTTCTTGCTGTCAGCAGTTTCAGAAATTTATATTGCACAGGAGATATTTGAGATGAGTAGAGTGATTAAGTCACAGGGAAGTCATGAATCAACTGTTCTTTTTGTAGACACCAGTACTTCTGGCTGTTCCAGGATTTAAGAAAAAAAAATCTTTAGGCAACTAGAGTTGGATTCCAGGTAGTATTTGGGTGGAACTGGGTACCAGGACAATTTTACAGCCTCTGGGATGAAGGTACTTATAAAGCTCTCCTTAGTCCACTGTTCTTTTTTTGTTGCTTTTCCCTCACAAATTTTTTCTTTGATTGTATCCCCTTCCACAGTCTTATTGACTCCTTTTTTCATAATGTCTATTGAAATACATGAAGCTTACTCTCTCCTTTTCCTTAAATTCTCTATATCTGTCTGAGACTTGTTCCTGTGCTCACTGGGCAGCCCTGCATATAAAAAGGTCATATCTTTGGCAGTGGTTTTGATGGATGCCTGTGTAATTTAAAATTCTCTCCCCTGCAGAACATATAACTTTGGATCCTAACACAGCTCATCCCTGCCTGGCCTTGTCTGAAGATCTGAGAACTGTGAGATTTAGGAATATCCAGCAGGATGTGCCTGGAAACCCAGGGACGTTTGACTTCAGCGCTTCTGTGTTGGGTGCAGAAAGCTTCCACTCAGGAAAGCACTACTGGGAGGTCGCCGTGGCCAAGGCTTCACAGTGGCAGTTGGGTGTGTACGGAGACTACTCTGCAGCCAAGAAGGACAACGTGCCTGAAGCGCTTCCAGATAAATTCTTACTCATAGGGTCCATGATGGGTCCTGATTATACCTTCTGGGTCTTTCCCCCTTTGAAAAGGGTCTGCTTGCAAAAGGAAATGCGAAAAGTTGGAGTTTTCTTGGACTATGAACATGGACACATATCATTCTACAATGTGACAGAGAGATCCCTCATTTATAATTTCTCTCGCCTCAGTTTCCAAGGAGCTGTTAGGCCTCTATTTTCTCTTTGTATTCCAAATGGAGATATGAACTCAGACTCTCTTACTATCTGCCCCCCTCACGTTCCTTCCTAAAATATCAGTATTAGCTGTAAGATCACAAGAGACCACAAAATTAAGAGCAAGACATTATAAGAGTTTGTATAAAAGTAATCCAAATGAAAGACTTCCCTGAGTTGAAGCCCAGTATAATGCCCAGGGCCTTTGCATCAATGTGGCTTTCAGCACGTGCTTAGTGGATGCAGTTGTGCTTCGGCTGAATTGTGAATGATAATATACAAAAGACTCATAACTAATTACAGCTACAAATGCATATGCATCATAGGATCAGAAAAAAGAGAACAAATATAGTCTGGAGTTCTTAGAGCTATGATTGGGGCTCTAGAACTACTTCTGAAAGCATTTGCAGAATTAAGTATAATCAGGAATGAAAGCAGGATGATTTCGATGTAGCTCATAGAGCCCGTGTTGAATGGAGACATCCTATTACCAGTTCTGTTACTGACAAGGAGGCCTTCTGTTACTGGCAGTGAATATCAAGGCTTCTTAACGTGTATCCTTCATCCCAGAAAAGAATAACTTAATTTTCTTGGGCAACAAGGGAAGTGCTATAGAAGATGTGAATTATTAAAATTATTTTTTCAAATATTCTTTTCTACTACTTTTTGACGAGGGAAATTAAATTTTGAAAAAGGCCTGAAAGTTTAATGCTTTGAAATATATGAGTAATATTGTGATGGTGTCTTGTATTCTTTCTTTACTTGCTAATCCACTGAAAAATACCTTGTTTTATATCTTGGCTCAAGGGAGGGGTATGTAATGCTGTGAAGAACCAAAAATATTTATAGAAGGAATTTTATGCAAAAGGTTTCTCATACTTTATTTTCCTTATTATTTTTAACAACCTGTACATATTGGTAATCTTGTTACTCAGATCTAGAAACTGATACTTAGAGACTGGTTTAGCTTTCCTGACATCGCATAGCTGTTAAATATCTAGTAAGGAATTAAGGAATTAAAAACAAGATCTCAACACCAGCCAGGGAGGGGATAAGACATGCACAATAAAATGGCACAATGTCGTCCTGCACACAAGTACACAGAAAGATGAGTCCTGAATCCTATCACATAGGATTGGATAGATTTCCTTATTACGATAAGCACACTTAAGACACTGATCCAATTTCATTTATATTTCCCCAAAATACAAGCCAATTTCTACAGCAAGAACGGGAGCGTGATATTTACCTATCCCTCTGTAGCTATACTCTAAGCTAAATGTGTAAGCTAAGTGTTTTAGTATTGTTTGGTGATGTGGATTGAATCCAGGGCTTTACCACTGAGCTACAGGGGTTTTGTTTGTTTTTACTTTGAGACAAGGTCTCACCAAGCCATTATGTTACTCCGATTGGGTTTGTATTTGTGATCCTTCTCCCTCAGCCTTCCAGAGAGGGTTATAGGCACCTGCTGACATGCCTGGAAGCTAAATTCTCAAGAATGGGGACTACAAGGGAGCAAAAGGCAAATAGAAGAATACTGAGTCATGGAGGTCTGGGCAGCTGTAAGTTTTGCTTTGTTTTACCTGTGTTTTGGAGACAAATTTTCAATTAACTTCTTGGGATTTTCAAATTTTGTGTCTAAAACAGTTTTTGTTGTTGTTTGCTTGTTTTATATTTAAAAGCTTGTAAGCTTAGAAAAAAATCAGTGTATCTTCATACTGAATGACAAGACTTGAGGGAAAGAGCCTCCGCTTTGTCACATGAATGAGCTGAAGTGTTACATTAAGAAATTGGCTCTCCAATTCTTTTCTTTTTTGGTATCACGGATCAAACCTGCACTTGCACTTGCGAGGCAGGAGGCAGAACCACTGAGCTAAATCCCTGGCTGGCTCTGCAATTCTTAAGGACTATCCTCCCTTGAGGAAAATATACAGGTACACAGGTAGATGTGAGAAGCTTTAGGAACAAGCATCTGCATGTTTAAATTCTCATGTTTAGCTGAGCGTGATGGTGCATACTGCAGTTTTAGCACTTCGGAAGCTGATTCAGAAGGATCAGTTCAAGGCAAGCCTAAGCTACATAGCAAACTTTCCCCAAAATTTTTTAAAAATAAAATCTCGAATGTATCTCTTTGTCTAACTGCTCAAAATTATCAGCTAAAAATTCTTTGAGCCAAACATTTATATTGCCATAAAATCCGCAGTACAAAACTGATTTAGAACGAGCAAAATCTCATATTAGCTAGACCAATGAGTCGCACCTGGGGTGGTTTTTCAGGAAGTCTGGGACAACTGGCAGTCTGGAGACATTGTCTGGGGGTCACAGCTTGAGAAAATTTGAGGTGTTGCTGGAATCTCATTGGGAGAGGCCATTGATTTGCTATATATCCTACAATGCACAGCACAGCCCCACAGACAAAGAATTGTCTGGCTCAAAATAGAAATTGTTTTGAAGCTGAGAAGTCCTGAGTTAGACTAACAATTATTACGAAATGAGTGGATAAAGAACTTTGAAAACTCAAACCATTATTGGGAATATTGTTATACCATTATCTGCATCCTTTCTCCAAAGTGCAGAAATTTTTAGGGTAATACTCATCTACCAAGAGCTTAAGGGAAATTAGCATTACATTGATTCTAGCTTATAAATATCATAATAACTATATTAATAGTAATAGGCTTTGGTAATTATATATTTTTCTTTTCTCTTGATTCATTAATTGAGATCCAAGAGAACTATCCAATTACAACTAATTCCACTTCTTGCAGTACTCACCTTAAAACCATTCCGGGCAAGTCTCTAAGCACTATACAGTGGACCCTCGCCTTAGAACTCAATTTGCTTATGAGAGCAGTTTGTAATTCAAGTAGGTTGTAAGTCAAGACTATTTCAGTCTCCTTAGAGAGACTTTGGCCCAGGATTTCTCGATTAACCCCACACAGGAAAGGATGTTGTAATATTCTTTTCAGGACTCTTTAAAGGTTAAATCTGTATCTGAGACCATTGGAAGAACTTCAGGAACAGTTTGCTGTTGGGCCTCATGGTGTTGTGACCTTCATTGTCTTTTTCTAGGATATTGTTTGGAATTGTCTGTGGTACTGTTTCGGCATTCATGAAGTTTCTCAAGTGTTCTTTGTCATGGAAGTATCTTATTTCCTCATCCATTTTAAAGAAAGTTTTGCAGGATACATCAGTCTAGGTTGGAGGTTGTTTGCTTTTAAGTCTTGAAATAACTCACTCTGCTTTCCTTGACCTGAGGGTTTGTGTTGAAAAGTCTGCTGTGATTCTGATGGCCTTTGCTATGCATGTGATTAGTTCAACTGGTGTTTTTCAGAGGGATGTTTTGACTTAGCCTGCTGATCTTGGGAATCAGTTGGTACCCAGTGGGACCTTCCAGGCACAAAAGCTTTGCACACCCATTGCGTTGCACCTGGGTCACTGCCCTCTGCCTTCCTGACTAATTCTCTCTCATTCTTCAGGATCTTTGCCTGAGTGTTACTCCGGTGGGAAGCCTGCCCTGACAATCTTAAAAAGAGCTAATCCTGGAATATCATCTCATCAGTATCAGTTGCAACTTCTTACTGCAGAAAACACAGTAGGCATTTCATGGGTGACTACTGGATTAGTTGCTCCACTGGAGTATAAATTGCAAGAGAATGCTTGCTTTTGTTCATTCTTTTAGCTCCTGATGTTAAACAGTCCCCAGCACATCAATAATACATATTGAAAGAAAGTGGGGAATTAGGCATGTGGTACATGCTTGTAATCGCATCTGCTCTGAAATTAGCAAGTTTCAGGCCATCCTTGGGCAATTTATGAGACCCTGTCTCAAAATACAATTTTAAAAGGCCTGGAAATGTAGTTCAGTGTGTGCGCGTGTGTGTGTGTGTTTGAGAGACAGAGACAGACAGAGCCTTGTTTGTTTGAGATAGGGTCTTGGTATGTTGTTTAGATTGGTAGCCCAGTCTGGCCTCAAGTTTACAGCAACTTTCTTGCCTCAGCCTCCTGAGTGAAACAGCAGAAATTTATTTTCTCATAATTATGGAAGCTAGAAATTGATATTCCTTCTCTCTAAGGAGTGTTTCTGTCTCTCCTAGCTTCTGGCAATTTTTGGAGATATAAAACTCTCATCTTTGCCTTCATCTTCATTGAGTTGTCTTCCTTTGTCTCTGCCTCCTTCCATGGCATTTTATTTTAATACAGGCACCAGTCTTACTGACTGAGTGGCTCACCCTACAATATGACCACATATTCGGGCAGGAGGTATGTTTCTGTGATAAGGTGCTTGCCTAGCATGTGTGTGAGGCCATGGCTTCCATCCCTACCACCACAAAAAGAAAATTAAATAGATACACAAATACCTTCATTTAATTCAGTAAGACATTTCCAAATTGGGTTACATTCTGAGGCACAGTGTGTGAGGACTTACAGGACTTTTTTAGGGGGAGACAATGAGCAGGAAGGACACAATGAAACCTCTAACAAAGTTGATGGGAAGATAGTATCCTGTTCATAGCAGTGGGTGTGTGAATTCAGTCCATTGTTAAAATCACCTGAGAAAATGTTTAAAATTCAAATATCCAGGGTACACATTCATACCAATTACATAAGTTTCTGGAGTTGGAAACCAGGTATCACTTTTTTAAAACACTTTCGGTGACTTCAATATGTAGCCACGGTAAATAACAAAGTTAGTAGAAGCAAGACAACACCTGGTGTGTTCAGTGGTGCTAGTCCTGTGTAGCGTGCAGTTTTCATTTCTCAGAGGCAAAGACTTGGTGATGGGGCTTTGGAGGGGGGTGGTGGGTTGGGAGACAGGTAAGAGCTGAACCTCTTATGCACCCTCTTAGAGTTAGGCAAGCACGTGTGCTTCTGGTGCTGCCAGTGGTAACTGCCAGCCCAGTGGCGGTTTTAGGAAGGTTGTTGGTGTGATCAGATATAAACGTTAAGGAACTATTAGTCTTGAACATCTGAGCCAAGTGAGACCTAGAATGTCTGTTATCCAAGACACATTCCGTGGTGTGCAACAGGTGGCATTATCTCCTCACACTCGGAAAATATTGCTACACTTAAAACACTGTGGGGTTGTGGGTAAAGCTCAAAGCAGAGTATTTGTCTGACAAGTGCTTGTCCTTTAGTGCAATCCCTCGT